TATATATATTATACGTAATATATATATATATATACACTATTCATAGATGCTGGAGCATTGCTGCAGAATACAACAACACGACATCGCTCATGATTGTGTGCTCATTCGTTCATCTCCCATCGACCTTGTACGATCGCGAACAAGCCGCTGATAGCGTCGACTGATAATTTAATATGGCAGTTCTTTCTTCGCCAGGGAAACCACTAAACGAGTAGATAAGTCAAAGCACTCCTGAACAGACGGGTGCCAGCGTGTCGTATCTGTCGAATCGTTTTGTATCGATCTACGCTCTCATCGAGAGATATCGCAGCTATTGTGAAAACTAACGCCGCATCGTTAACAATTACATTCCAAATAATTAATTTATTTCCTCTAAAAAGTGACGAAATAAACGCGAGGTATCGTGATTTTTCGTTTCGAAAGCCAGAATTACTGCTTATATATTTGCGGAAATTAATTAATTTCGAATCTTTTGTAGGTTTATACGTAATCGTAATGCACAATTCGCAGTGTACCTTCCGTAGACTACCATCGAAAATCCGTTTCTTTCCGTGTGTATGTACGCGTATGCGTACGAAAGGTAAGTAATATTAACAATGATCGTTTTTCATATATTTCATATTTTTAGTGTACTGAAGTCAACTGAAAAAAACGATCTCGTAAGCCACACAAATAGCCATGACTGATGTATAAAGTGTGCCACAAAGACATATATCCTCAATTTAATTTCTCTGTAAATGAATGCATCCGGATGGAAGATTTCTTATTTCCTAAAAGAATTATTTCTATATGTCTTCTTTGATCATTTTTCAGAGAAACTTTGATGGCTTTAAGCCGTAGAAAGGGATCTTATACGTTTGAATTCAAATGGATACTTGAAAAATTCTTTTTTAAAAACTTAAAACACACACACATAATGTACACACGCGCGCACATAATGTACGTATATGTAAATTTCAAGTTTCTTTTCAGAATTGTATACTCGTATTTGGAGGAAAGCGACATTACTGAAATGAGCACGGCCGATTTATCGGAACCAAACAGCACCGATAATGAACAGAATAGTCAAGTATTTTGGATCTCGCTGGACTGTTTCCTGTTTGTTGCAATCGTATTGGGAAACATCCTGACAATATTGGCCATCACGTGGGCTCGTAAGCTCCGAAGCGTCGTTTCGAATTACTTTATCCTAAACCTAGCGGTGTCGGATCTTATGGTGGGCATAACGGTACCGTATCATTTGGCGTTTTACGTGGACAGTACGTTACACCGCAACAAGTCGGTGTGCATCTCGCGTTTCGTCATGTTTATCTTGGCGTGCGGCGGGAGCATATACAATCTCATAATGATCGCCCTAGACCGATACGTCGCTATCGTGCATCCATTGAGCTATAACGCATACGCGACCAAAAGACGCGTGCTGCTAATTATAGTCGTCGCTTGGATATGCACTATGGCCGTGTCATCGATCCCGATATATTGGAATGGGTTCGATAAGTCACACCCGTGTGAATTGGAAACGGTATTGCCGAGGTATACCACATCTACCACTATTCTATCGATTCTTCATTTTCCAGTCAATATTCTATGCGCAACCATGATAGCTGCGCGTAAGCACACATTTATTATTTCACATTCGATAATTGCTGTAAAAAGAAAATTAATTGTTTTCGATCGATCACAGTTCATTATTTCAAAGCAGCTGCTCACGCGCGACTGTAAAAATTTATATCATTACATAAATTAATACACTATTGGTATATTTGGTAGATATTACATAATGGCTATACAGATACCGGCATTCTTTCTCAGTTGGATAGCAATGTTTCTGCTATATTGGAAAATTTGGAGAGAAGCGCATATGCACGCGCGTCGCATGAACCTCGGTGTCATTCCGAATATCACTGAGAAAAACGATCGCAAAAGCGTACAGGTACAGTATGTGACGTTTTGAATCAAGGTATAGCAGAAAACTGCTATACTTTGCTGCAGAGATGAATTAAAAGTGTTTTACAAGTGTAGCGATTTACCAGTGATAATAATAACAATAATGTTCGGATTAGGTGCTACTGCTGATATTGGGCTGTTTTTCGATCTGTTGGTTTCCTTATTTCATCGTCGTTTGCATGCGAACCTTTGGTTGGGAAACAAAGTCGTTGACGATTTGGTACAAGTCTACGTTCGCATTGGCCATTGCCAACAGCGGAATGAATCCCTTCATATACGCGTGGAAAAATACCAATTTTCGTAAAGCCTTTCAAAAGATTTTACATTTTAAATCGCCCAATAGCAATTTCAACTCCAGTTTCAAAATATACTTGGAAAAACAACGAAAGTTAAATAATCAGGTAGATGTACAAGATAGTCAGCGTACAAGTACAGGAAGAAACAACAATTCGCACAAATGTTCATCCGATCGTCAATCTAATCATGCAGAAGACGTAGGAACGGGGAACACAATTTTTTAAATATAATATATCATTCGTCTCACCATTTAACTAAAAGCTATCTAATAGAAGAACAAATTGTAAACTATTTCATTTTCCTTCAATCATTTATATCCTCCCCCTCCCCGCTCTATCTCTCTCTCTCTCTCTCTCTCTCTCCCCTCTCTCTGTCTCTCTCTCTCTCTCTCAACTGAAAATATTAAAATAAAGAAATTATAAATGTAACAACTGTACGTATAAAGAATTGTAAACATGAGAGACACTCGTCTGGCGCAAAATTAAAATGTTTCGAGTGCGATGTAAAAATTTCCAAAATAGATGCAATTTCCGAGGGTATTAAAATTTCATAATCGTAATTGGATCTTTTGTTATAACTAAAAGGTATCAACTATTCGTTATTTCTTACCTTATCGAGAAAGATTTTTAGAAGACTTACCTCAACCCCCGTTACTCCTAAAGCCGTTTTAATATTTGGCGTCATGCGGAACGGCACCTTTTCCGGGACACGTAGAGTTTTTCCCTTCTCGAAGCAGACATTGTAATCAATGTGTACAACTTCGCCGGTGTTAAGGTCAACGAGAACGTTATCCAAATGCCTGTCGCCTAAACCTATGATGTAGCCAATGATGGACATTACCGCAACGGAATATGAGTAGTTTTTGGTAGCTTGCCACCAGCTGCCGGCGTTGATACTGTTACACCAGATCTCTCTGTAATGCATATTGAGAAGGTAAAGGGAAGATGTGAGAAAAATAAACATAGAGAGATAGAGAGAGAGAGACAGAGAGAGAGAGAGAGAGAGAGAGAGAGAGAGAGAGAGAGAGAGAATAGATGTCGAAAGATCCGATTGAAAAGTACGGGCTAATGCCCGTTTTTTTTATTGCAACTAACTTGGCCAGTAGATCCTTCGGAGTCTCCCTCATTAATTCCTCCAAAACTTTTTTCAGCACATGAATAGGCCACTCCTTTCGGTTCTCCAAACCGATTCCGCACTCTTTCAACAACGGTGTCAACTTGTTGTAAAACAGTTCCGACGGTCGCATAATAGCAGAATTGCCGCCACCAGTCTTGCTGATGACGGCGCACTCACGCTGCTGCCATCGCTTATAAAGTATAAACAATGGCGTAACGCCATCGACCCACTGAATGAGACCGGACCTGGGACCTAAGGGGATCACTGAATAGTGCCGCGCCCTGTAGACCTTGGCATCGCTATTCTTTGACATCATGGTGTTACATATACTCAGGAATTGCATTATCCTCTCGTCCAGATGCAGGTCCTCCAGTCCCTTGAACAAATACGTGTAAACGTGGCCGTCGGACCCGTGGAATATCAATTTTTTAGGCTTTGTCTTCGTCGGTAGAATCTGAACATTATTGTCCACCGACATAATGGTGACGATCCTGTTATCGATGGCAGCGACGCCCGGCATGGCGATACGGGTGTCCTTCAGATTGGCCAAAATAGGACTGATGTCCATCATTGACAGAGAATAAGCGGCTCGTCGGTGTACGCGTTGCGCTAACTTGGTTTCCAAATGTTTCAAGGCCAAACTGGCCATTTGGGGCTTTGATGGATTCTTGGGATTGTTCAATCGATTGATTACCTCCTCTATAGAAGCACCAAACTTCTCTTGAAAGGTCTTCTCGTGTGGCGTCTCGGCAGGTACAGACGTCATAGATAGCAGATTCTCTAATATAAATGTAATTGGCTTCAAAATAATCCTATGCTTCTCCGCGATCAATTTATCTTTCTCTTCGAGTGTAAGCCATATATTGTCCTGCACCCGCTGAATCTCAATCTCTAGCTGCTCGAATCGTTTGGTAATCTCGGTGTGATGTTGGCACAATGTTGCCAACCACAGTTCGTCCCACAACAATGTGATTCGTCTGAGCTCCTTCACTAGCACTTTCACCTGAATTACCGAATCCTGTATACGATTCGAGAGACAATCGACCAAATGCGAGAAATAGGAATCCATAAAACTCTCATGTTCGTCGTTATATGCAATTGCTTCCGCCACTGTCTTTTCTTCATCGCCGTCATCGTCCTCCTCCTTTTCTTTCTCCTCTTCATCCTCCTCCTCCTCCTCCTCCTCTTCCTCTTCTTCATCCTCCTCCTCCACCTCCTCCTCCTCCTCTTCATCCTCTTCCTCCTCATCCTCCTCGTCCTCCTCTTCCCCGTCATCATTCTCCTCTCCTTCTTTTCTCTCTCGCCCCTCCATGACAGCGTTCAAATCTACATCATTCTGCGAGCTATCATTGCCATCGGTCTTTTCATAAGGACTAACAACCTTGCCGTACATCTTCTTCTGCCCGGACACCGCGCCCACCACGGCCGGGAACGTGATCAAATGCGGCGAATTCTCGGCCACTCGGCACAACAGCTCGGATACCTGAGTCCTCACGTACGTCTCGGGATGACTGAGTCTCGAAAATAACTGCGGTATAATCTCTTTCCATGGCGCGGTCGGGGTTGTCGAGAGACCGGCTTCGAGAACATTCTGCAACTCGAGGGCGTGCTTCACCACGAGTCTCAGTAATCTCAACGTTGCCGTGATGGTGTCGCACTCGTTGCTGTCATTATTCGCTAATTGCAAGTATTTGAAGTACGCATTCGCTGAAAGCTCGTAATACGAATAGATCCTTTTCTGCGCCTGTCGCCAGATGTCGACCAGCATACCGAGATGTTCGTTGCTGGCGTGACTTAAGACCGACACATTCCTCAGTTGATTCTCTATCATGTCAGATGTGTTTATGTCGTTCATGTCGATATCGCCCTCGTCCTCGGGTATGGTTTTGTTCTGGCTTAGTATAGAGAAAATGGTGTTGAGATCAGTTTCGGCTATATCCATCGGCAGCAACGACTGTATGTTTACCCGGTCAGTATCCGTCAATTGACCAGAGTTGGAGTTGTCCACGATCTTCCGGCCCCACTTGTAACACCATGCGGCAAAACTGGACCAGGCTCGCGGCAAATCCGGACACTGATTCACGCCAAGTTGCATCAGTTTACCGATTATCATGTCCGACGTAGGAATCAAATCGATCGTCTCGCCGAACAGTTTGTCCATCAGGCCGTCGTTGTGCATAGCTTCGAATCGGAGCAATTCCTCCAATTGAGGATTCTCCTTCACGTTTGCGTCCTGTTGTATCCACTTACCCAGGGTAAGCAAGAGCTTGGTTCCCGTTTCCCGTAAATCGGCAGACTGCTCGCCACTGACGATCGCTTGCGAGATCCCCAACGCGGTCACGCAACACATCCTCAAAGCCTCGCTCGTCTTCTCCATGTCATACAATAATTTCGATAATTCTCTGAATGCGCGCATACTACTCTTAGTCCATTTCACGTGGACAGGCCCGTTCAGCATGCCGCTTGTGATCTCGGTGAAAGTGCAAGCGGTCGGATTTTCCAATCGAATGAGGTTTTGCTCCGATTTCAAGTACTTGACCATCTCACGTTTCGCTAAATTAAAGTTGCCTTCTTTCCTGGCCGTTCTGACAACATGTAATCGTAGACTGTCCACTTCCGTAGAGCCGCTGTCGCACGCTTGATCCAGATACTCGGACCACCACAATATCTGCGTTAAAATATTGGAATTGATATTACTCACTTTATCAACCTTGTATAATTCGAAAACGTTCTTGTCCTTCTTGCCGCGCGATATGTTCTTCAGCCCCGTCGCAGAATACTGGAGCAGTATAGCATCACTGAGATACTCCGACGGCACATTCCGCAATCCGTCCTGCATCACCTTGGCCGCAATCTTCTGGCATCTCTCGATAATACTGTCGTCAAACGAATCGTCGAATTCGTTAAGGCGAATTCTGAGCGCAACGTTCGTCAAACTGTTGCTGCACGCAGCCAGCGTTTTCGCGCAGTTCCAATTACTTTTCTTCTCCAGCAGGTTCCAATTCGACAACTCGTCCAAGGAGATCAGTTTGCCCTCCTCGAACTTTTTCAGACAATCCGCCTGCTGCGGAACAATATTTTCTGCAATTTGCTTTCTCACGGCGACATAATTCTCTTGCGTCAGCATCTCGCTCTCTCGTGATTTCCATTCCACTAATCCAGACCAGTCACTGACCGCTTTATAACAATTGGAAAGTCTTTGCATGCAGAAGCCCAGCACTTGACCGTCGCTCTCGAGTCTCGCGGTTCTGCCGCCTTCGTCGTCGTTTGCTTTAACGTGATCGTGATCGTCGATGATCTGCTTGTAAGCATCCGCCGCTGACTCGTAACGCCCGGCGGCTTCCTCCATCGCTGCTTTCAACCAGGAGAACTGTCTGTCCTTGCTCTTGATGTAAAGGTAGAGCCCCTGCAACGCCTCCGCTTCGCCGAGTGCGACCATCGCCTGCGTAGTCCACAATGTTGCCCTCTCAAATTCGATACCTTGCGTATTATCAGCATTGCTCAAATCCTCTAGTAATCTCTGACCGTTTCGCAACGCACTCGTCGCTAGGCCGGAGTGCAACGAGACTACGCATAAGGCCAACCGTATGCGATTTAGCCATTCCTTGCACGTCGACTTGTTCGTGTGGAAGAAGGTTCTGACTGGTTTTGACAGTGGTAAGAGCGCCATCGCGCAACCATCAGCCGCATTGTGAATCACCCTTTCCAGATGTTCCAGGAACTCGACGAAGAGTCGTACTCGCGTGTGCTCGTGCAAGATGCGATCTAATTCCTGGCTCTCTAATCCCTGCTTCTTCACTGCCACGTCCAGGTTGTGGCACGATATCTCGCGAGCCAGAATCTTCAGAGCACTCTCGATCGACGTAAACGTTTCCTGTGGCTTCCCCAGAGAAGTGCGCAGCTTGTTCAGGACACAATGTTGCGCTGCCTCGAAACCGCTCCAGAAAAACAGAAACGAACAATTTGCCAATGCTAAATCATACATCCTCGCTGTAGTTCCGTTCTCTGGTCTGGAAACGGAGAAACGTTTCGTGTGATTATCACCGTTTTCGCGAAAAAAACAATCTCGGGTAAAGAATACTTACACAGCTGGCCAACATAAAGTAAATATTTCCGATAACCCGGATGCGTCGAGATAATGTTCTTGCAGTAGAAACGCCATGTACGTTTTGAAATGCTGCGCCAACAATTCTCCATTGTTGTTACTTCGCATGTGCAATCTTTGAGCGAGAATCAACGATTCTGTCGAATAAGTCACGATCTCTCGCAACTTCTATACCACACAACAGTCAAGACAATATGATGACAATGTAGAAAACATTTAAATATGAAATGAGAAAGAGATGTTAACTCGACAAGTTTTTCGACAGAACTACATTCAGAAAGACACTTACCTTGGTGTCTGAGAATAAATGCTGTTTGTTCAATTTTGATAAAACAATGTTAATGGGCATACACATTAGCAGAGCGCCGTATTTTTCACGGATAGTTTTGTTGCACGAAGTCAAATGCAACGTCGCTAGGTCCACAATACTCAAATAGGTCCCTTGCTTCCATACCACATCCTTTGCGGTCATTAACATTTCGAAGAGATTGCATGCCGCGCTCGCAACATCGTCATTCGTCGTAGCGCCACAATTGATTAAACTCGCAATTATACTTTGGCATTCCTGAGTTTCGCTCAAGATTCCGATATACTTTTCAGACTGTATGCAAATCTCTTGCAACCAAGTGGACAAAAGGAGTAAAGTGCATGCGGGCGTATTTTTGTTATATGTCTTTGCTATCAAATTGAGAATTATAGACAAATGACCGCTGGCTGGTGACGTAGTCGGTACATCCAAAGTCCCGGGAAACATATCCATCGGGCGAGAAGCGGTAGTACCTGTTATCAAGCTGGAGCTTGAAACGAAGTGATTGTACCTGTTAACATACACACACACACACACACACACAAATCGACACACACGTTAAAATTATATATTCATTCGTTAAACTATCGAAAGAGAGTACTAGGAGTAGTAAGTTTCATTTTACCTGGAACAATGCGCATAGAGCAAATACAGAATATTATATTGTAAAAACGGACTCGCTGTAGACAGTGCAATGTCGTATGGTTTTAACCTGACTGCGAGAAGTTCCAAGATACTGGGCTTCAAAGCCCACATTCCAATAATCGAATTACTAGCGTTTGCTAAAAAAGATATAAAAGCGCTTATTACACGTTTTCTCGTTCTTTTTATACCAATTATAGCGGCACGTTATATACTCACCTATGTCCGAAAGCGCACGTAGTATGAACGTAACTACAATCTCAACGTCGCTTTTCGTATATTGCAAATCGCTCAACGGATTGTCTGCAACCAAAATATCTATATCGGATAGTATAAGTTTGTAAGCTATCTCCAAATCCGCTAATATATAGCGATAAGATTCCTGTAATAATGGAATATTCTTTAAGCTGAGAAGACTGTGATATACGCTCAAACTCGCGTTTTGAATGGTAATAGAATTTCGGAATCTTAATTTTAGCAGCATCGAATTCTTGCCAAGTAACGTGTGCACCAACTCCAATGGCAGGTTCGCAGATACCTCCTTTATTATTTTTGATATGATGTTCAACATGGAAATAATGGTATCGTCCCAAAAGATGTTAACTCTTTGTAACTGAAGATCGATAAATTTATAGAGAAGCTCGTGATTCTTTGTTACTCGACTTTGAAGATAACCAAGGAGCAAGAAGGCGCATTCATTCGCGACTACAATCAATTCTTCTTTTTCTTCCGACAAGTTTTCAATCTGTTTGACTTTTGGTTCCATCGATCGCATTACACTCATTAACAACTGTCCTTTCTCCCTGGACAGAACGTTTCCTTTGTCAGAAGCTATCTTGAAATTCTTCTTATCATTTTTCTTATTTATAGTCAATGACTTTATCATCTTAATAAGATTTTCCTCGGTAACGTCGTCTTTACTGAAATGTTTCGAAAGTATCTCGACATGTTCTTGCGACGAACTCATGTTCCTTACATATTTGATCAAATTTTCTGGATTATTAGATATCTTGAGCCAAGTGTCGTTATCCTCTTCCAATTCGATCGCTTTGACAACGGTCTTTAGCATTTTCGACAGACAATTCGTTAGGAAAGACCACTGTACGTTGGGTGCAAGATTTGGATTCAGATGCTCGGCTACGCTCTTCGTTACCGTATTAAAAACGGATATTAACGAGGTAATTCGCAGAATGCATTCTCTCGGTGTCGGAGATCCATCATCACCAGGCGAAGTACGACCGGATTCGGGCGAATTCAATTCTTCGTCGTAGCTTTCCATATCCTCCAAAAATTGTCCTAGTAACGTTAGAGTAAACTGCAGATCCGCTATCCAGAACGAGCGCAACTTTTGCAAACATCGACTCGCGTAAATGACAACTGACTTTTGTTGCGTGGAATCGATGTGCCAACCCACAAGTATGTCCACAGTATCGTGGAAGTGATTTGTGAACGTTTCCGGATAAGAATCTATGACGAGTAATATAGCATCCACAGTTGCTACCAGTAAGTCTGCTCTGTCGACATTCTCTAATATTGACTGTAATTGGGACATCATCGGCTATAATGCAATTACGAAAAATTGATTAATATCTATTGTTATGTTGAAACGAAAGCAAACAATTAGAAATTATCGAGATTTTTAATACATGTACATAAATGTTTTTATTTACCATGGAGAATTCCTTCAATTTTGATATCTCAGAGTCCATCTTGAGCGTCTCGATAAGTGACTTCATTAACAGACATTTCACATCATCTTTATGTTCCAATGAATATTTATTAAAAATCCAGTCCATATATCTAGAAAATATACAAACAAGTTTTGTACTGTTTAATTTTTCTACTGTTCAACATCATCATACGTATATTGGGAGAATAAAGAGATACAGAATATATCTTTTACATATTCATATTGCGTTTGAATGTGCACATACCTTTTAAAATCTTGTTCTACCACATATCCAATTCGACCCAAACACTTAGCAACCTGTTGTTTTGCCTCCTGACCAGGACCAGAGTGCAAGAAATCTAACAGACTTTCACAAATAGTTTCCAAGTTCCGTCGTATGTATCGTTGATTTTCATGTGCGACGATACTTTCTTGCACTTGCTTGCAAAGTACCATGAGATGATCGTAATCATCTTCACGGCATAATCGTCGTAAAAGCTTAGAAATTCTCGAGTCCTCTGAAACAAGAGAGAGAGAGAGAGAGAGAGCAGATTGCTTTAAAGAACAAAATTCCAGTAGAACAGGCACAAATATTACACGCACACGCACATACACGTGTGTGTGTGTGTGTGTGTGTGTATATACAATATATAAATGTAATAAATTACCATTTATTCTTTTATCATCGTAGTATTTGCCCTGTGCGTTCTCATGATTTTTCAACGATTCTTGAAACTTGGATCTAGATGTAGAGTGATAACTGGACTCTGAATTTGATTCGCGATCATTGAGGGTCTTTTTAAAAGCCCTCCCACGCGTTCCACCCCTAGCACGATCTGTAGAGCTACTGCCACGTGCCATTCGAAATTCATTTCTTGGAAGACCGCTAAGTCTGTTGCAAAGAATTATTTCTTTTTAGTTACCTTGATTTATTAGATATATCATAACAAGAGTATAATTGAAACAAAGATGATAATACCTTGGCTTAAATCTTGTAAAACCGTAATCTGAGGAGTAGTTGGAGTTTCGCTGACAAATGACGAGGGTGCTGCGTGGTACATTAAGATCATTGACACTATAACCACTTATCACACCACTATCTTCTTTCTCTATTTCTCCTCCCTGATCTATAGACTCGTCTTGAGTCTCAGCACACTTGGAACCACGTAGCCTCGTGCTAGTAGTAGAGTTCCCACAGCTATTCATTACATTACTCTGCAAGTGGTCTGCATGACCCACACTTAATAAATGTGTAACCTGTGGTTATCTAGAGAAGAGATTATTAATTATGAAATTGCTTACACATAATTATAAATCAAAATAAACATTATAGATTAAAAAGTATTAAAAGTTATTAGTAAAGAAAAAAAATTGTATAGTCTTATTTGTACTATCCTTTCAGATAATAATTCACACTACAAATGAATATATATTTACAAAAATACACATTTCACATATTCACATATATTGTAATAAGAAAA